AACGCCCGGCCCAAGCCGAGTTGGCGAAGCGTCCACATACCAGCTGCTGCTTGTACGTGCGGCGCTCCCGTAGGCCTCCCTGCCCTGCCCTGCCCCTTGGCTCCGCTTCTCTCAGGACCGGCTGTGCTTACCCTGCTCGCCTCAGCACCCGGTACCTTCCCGTCCTGTGGCCCGTGTTCCGCACGTAGAAACTGCACCTCAGAGCAGGGCTGTCCCACGGCCCAAACAGGCCTTCAGACACCAAAGCATAGCTACATCCGAGCTTAGCTCCCGATTAATTACTTGAGCAGTCCCTCTTCCTACTCTTTTCCTCCCCAGTGCACTGGAATGCTGTTCGCCTGAACCATTCTTGCGTGGTTCTGGAAGAATGAGTCGTCTTGAGGGGTCTCTTTGTTTCCAGGTTGGGTTTAACTGCTGCCCCCAGTAAAGGAAACTTAACATATTCATATAATAAGTACCGCAAATAACTAGGTCAAGATGTAGCATTAATAAATTGTTACAAAACCGACTTTTGTCACGTGTTGCCACAGAATCAAGATTACACTTGTCGGGTGGTATTTTCGCCTTACCCATGACATCCTATTTTAAAAATAAAGTGGATAAGCAGTTATATTTCAGTGATGATTTTACAGATACAGTCATTTTTACCTTGCATTTATGTCACTCAAAATGAGCGATTGGCATTCTTGTAACTACATAATTTCCTCTAAAAGGATTGAAGAAAAATCATTGTGTTCCATGCAGTTTTCATTACAGTTATAGAAATGCAGTTCATTTATTTAACATGGACAAGTTTTATGTACCTCTTTCAGAGACAGCACTGATTAGTAAAGATCTCTTTTTGCTTGAGTGCAAAGTATGGGTGTCACCTTTTTTGCAGTTTGCAGTCGGTATGTTTTCTTCCAATGTGTTTTTATGCTGACTTAGTTATGAAGAATTCAAGGCAAGCTTTGTTTTCCCCTTTCCCAAAAGCTGGGACAATCTGCACCTGCTGTGGAGAACAGGCTTAGAGTTCAGAATGATTTTGACAAACGGGGGACACATTCTAAAAACAAAAAACAGCAACAAAAAAAACCAGGACGCAACTGAGTAGAGACAAACCCAGCACTGTATTATTAACTGCATACATTCAGGGCGGAGAACTACCAGTTACACGGCAGTTCCACAGAAATGATTTGGGAGTTACAGTGAATTCCAAGCTAAGCAGTCGCCAGCGGTGCCGTGCTTTTGCTTAAAGGAGAACCATCATGCGGGGATGTCCAAACACGTGAGGTGATGTAAGACACGTGAGGTAATCCTGCTTTGTACGGAACCACTAAAGCCCCAACTGGAATTCTATGTCCGATTTTAGACACTTCAAGAAGGATGTGCACTAATGAAAGTCTGGATTAAAGCAATGAAATCAATCACAAATCTAGAAAGCCTGACATCTGAAAAGACTGGAGAGAAGGAGTTTGTCAGTTTAAGGAGAAGTCTGAGAGAGGTAGGCATCCTTAATATGCTACAGATTGCTACAGAGAACAGACTACATTTCTCTCCCTCTCAGATGTAGAAAAGATGTGAAATACATATTTTAAGATTTAATTTTGATGTTTGAGAGATGCAAATCAGATGCTACAGAGAATTCATCAACAATAAAGTAAGTCATCCTGAGTGAAGAAGGGGGTGTGTGTCATCATCATCCTTATTTATACACTGGCTGTTGCAAAGATGGGCACAATATTATGTGCTGATGAAGCAACACGTTACCCTACATTGCAGGAAGGGAGATTCAGATAATTATGAGGAAAAGCTAAGTACTGAGGAGTTTATTGAGCTATCATCACTGGAAGCTCTAAGAGAGGTTAGGGCTGGACAAAGTTAATCTTGTCTTGGGGCAGGAAAATGGGATAGATTGCTGTGAAAGCAGTAATTCCTAGGATGCTTATCTGAACATATTCTTGGGCTTGTAGTTCTATTGAAAATTAGACTATTAATTTTGCCGCTATTAACTACGACTCTAACTTGAGGGCAAAAAGAGAGAAGAGATGGTAAAGGCAGCAAGATTTGCTTCCACATTTAAACCTAGATTCAATAAAACACTTAGTTTTCATACTCCTATTTTGGTTCCTAAGTTTTAATTAATTGGAATTTGCAAGTATTTAAGAACATGCATTTTTTTATATGCATATCAAAACTTAATGAACAATGCTGTTGATGCTATCTGAGCCCAAAATCTTAAATCCCATGTTCAGATTACAGGGATGGAAGTATGAAAAAACCTTTTTTCTTAGTTTAGCAAATCTATAGTAACTGAAAAAATAAAATAGAGCTCTATCCTGATGTTGTTTGAATACCAATATAGCTAAATATATAACTTTCCAGTTGGGAGATTATAAGTACTAAAGATTGTTCCATATTTGATAAATGGAAAGGTAATTTTTTCCAGGATCAGTAAGGCTTCTTTGTCTTCAGTGTCATGGACAGAGTTGGTTTAATTATTTTTGAAAAAAACAATAAAAATAATATACCCAGTCTCAGAACATGACAAAAATGCACATTTTATCAGGCAAAGTCACATACTCCACTTAATTTTAAAAGAGAGAGAAAGGGTTTTTTTAAACAATTGCCTTCTGACCAAAACATAACAGAAAGCTTTAGGCTACAGGGACCTAGAAAAGATGGTGCTGCATCTGTTCGTCCTAATACTAAATTGCCCTATAAATTTAAAGAGAGGACTATGACACTACAAGACATTTTTAAACTTTCTGATAGCAATGTCTGTATAGTGCTTGTGCTTTATAAGTTGCTAGTTTTGACTTAGCTGAACAAATGAGTTTAATGACTATAAACATTTGTTATTAAACAACTTTTAAAGTTGTTATTGACATTTTTTATGACTGTTCTGGTTTCGGCTGGGATAGAGTTAATTTTCTTCCTAGTAGCTGGTACAGTGGTGTGTTGTGGATTTAGGACGAGAACAATGTTGATAACACATCGATGTTTTAGTTGTTGCTAAGCAGTGCTTACACTAGTCAAGGACTTTTCAGCTTCCCATGCTCTACCGACTGAGAAGGCTGGGGGTGCACAAGAAGCTGGGAGGGGGCACAGCCAGGACAGCTGACCCAAACTGGCCAAAGGGATATTCCATACCATGGGACATCATGCTCAGTTTATAAACTGGTGGAAAGCTGGCCGAGGGGGCCACTGCTCGGGGACAGGCTGGGCATTGGTCAGCAGGTGATGACCAACTGCATCGTGCATCACTTGCTTTGTATATTCTTTTATTATTGTTGTTATTATTATTACTATTTTATTCCAATTATTAAACTGTTCTTTTGTCAACCCACGAGTTTTCTCATTTTTACTCTTCTGATTCTCTCCCCCATCCCACCAGGGGGTAGTGAGCGAACGGCTGTGTGGGGCTTAGTTGCTGGCTGAGGTTAAACCACGACACTGTTGTTGTCGTCTATAATCCATATAAAAGCACTACGAAGAAGTTTAGCAACCTACCATTGGGCCAGGAAGAAACTGTACCGGATAAAAAGGCGAAGAATAAATCACAAAAACCGTATGGACTGTAGACATCTCTGACAGATTTCTAAGGACTCTGTCATTTCCTTTCATTGTCAGTTATATTTGTGATAAGCCTTATTATATTGAAATGGAGACAAATATGGTTAATGAATCTCCAACATGTTTATGTATACTAAATTAATAACAGAGTAGCTGAATTGATATGGTGCACAAGAGTATTTAACAGCTAATTACTTTCTTTGTCTGTCTGAAATAAACATTCTGTTAAAGCAGGATATGAAATACATAGCCACAGCTTTCAAACTAGGGACAACAGCATAGTAGAGTTTACTGAAATATTTGTGGTCTTCTTTTAGTACATAACTGAACCTCACTGTCCTTTATGGTGAGGCATCTCCCAAACTGACACTCTTCACAACAATGCATGAACTTTGATACTTAAAATGGTTACTAAATCTAACCTTTGGTCCATCAGTTCTGTCTTTGTGAACTATAGATAGCAAATGAAAACATTTAAAGCTCAAATCAAATCAATTAAGCAAAAGAAGTCCCTGAAGGTCAGGAAGTGGCCCAAATTACTACAGGGAATTCAAATTCTTTGTTCTGTCTTGTCAGGGCAAGATAATACACTGGGTAATTACTGATGCCTTTCTGGAATCAGAATCTAATCCTAGAGCGCAAAAAGCTTAAACCAGATACAAATAATATTCACATAGTTAAGGAAGCAATATTTACACAGAAAGCATAAATAAGAAGAATGTTATTTAAATGTATTGCATGCAAAAGCTGTCAACAATTTTGAAAGAAAAAAATTATAAAAAATTCAGAAATGCTTTTTCAGTTAATGAAATCCTGCTTATATTCTACTACCAAATCTGTCCAGAGGGGGGAGGTAAATAGCCACGTTTTTATGTTACTGTAAAGAAAAGGGAACTAGCTGAAAACTAGTCATTCTCCCTGTGCATGTAGCTTCAGTTCACGTGAGCTTTATTTGTTGCAAAGTCTTTTATGTTCGCTAGTCGGTTTCTAACTTCATGATCCAAACCTTATAAACTTTAGATTTCCATAATACACCAAGGTGTTACATAAAAGATGTTAGGA